GAGGGACAACTCTCTCCGTGACTCCCTTGTCCGCTCCACACTCCCCTCCAGCTCCACCACACCCGGCACTTTTCCCTGCAACCGCAGGAAGTGCTACACCTGCCCCCATACCTCCTCCCTCACCCCCATCCCAGGCCCCAAGAAGACTTTCCACATCAAGCAGATGTTCACCTGCACATCTGCCAATGTGGTATACTGCATCCGCTGTACCCGGTGTGGCTACCTCTACATCGGGGAAACCAAGCGGAGACTCGGGGACCGCTTTGCAGAACACCTACGCTCGGTTCGCAATAAACAACTGCACCTCCCAGTCGCGAACCATTTCAACTCCCCCTCCCATTCCTCAGACGACATGTCCATCCTGGGCCTCCTGCAGTGCCACAACGATGCCACCCGAAGGTTGCAGGAACAGCAACTCATATTCCGCTTGGGAACCCTGCAGCCCAATGGTATCAATGTGGATTTCACAAGTTTCAAAATCTCCCCTCCCCCTACCGCATCCCAAAACCAGTCCAGCTCGTCCCTGCCTCCCTAACCTGTTCTTCCTCCCACCTATCCCCTCCTCCCACCTCAAGCCGCACCTCCATCTCCTACCGACCAACCTCATCCCGCCCCCTTGACCTGTCCATCCTCCCTGGACTGACCTATCCCCTTCCTAACTCCCTACCTACACTCACCTTTACTGGATCCATCCCCGCCTCTTCGACCTGTTTGTTTCCTCTCCACCTATCCTCTCCTCTATCCCTCTTCTATCCGCCTTCCACTCTCTCCCTATTTATTTCAAAAACCCCCTTCCCCTCCCCCTTTTCTGATGAAGGGTCTAGGCCCGAAACGTCAGCCTCTCTGCTCCTATGATGCTGCTTGGCCTGCTGTGTTCATCCAGCCCTGCACCTTGTTGTCTCGGATTCTCCAGCATCTGCAGTTCCTACTATCTCTGATGCAGTTTTGATTTCCTTATTTAAGGAGTATCTTTATATTGGAGGCAGTGCAGCAAAGGTCTACTAGATTAGTCCCTGGGATATTCTGTGATCAGAGGCTGAATAAGTTGGGTTTGTCTCCTCTAGAGTTCAAAACAAGGGGAATCTCAATTCAAAATATTAGATTCTGAAGGGCCCGAGAGATCGATTCCACTGGTCAAGTAATCTAAAACATGAGGCACAATAGCAGTTGATTATTTAGGACTGAAACGAGAAGTCTCTTCACTCAAAGGGTTGTGAATCATGTGTACCCTATATGTACAGTCCTCTTAGTGTGTGCACTGTTACTGAAAAATCTTGTATCTTCTATCCTTATTTTTTCAAAACATTGTTTCCTTGCTCCCTATGTAGAATGCTTGCAGTAGTTGCCTGACCAGCAGCCATGGAGGCTTCTCAGGATTACCTGGAATGAAAGGTGATCGAGGTGTACCTGGAGCTGATGGACATGATGGCAGGCAGGTAAAGGGGCATTTAGAATTAAGCTGACAAGTGTGGTTCATTGCTATTGATACAGGTGGTTTCTAAATTATACAAATGCTTACTTGTATGTGAATGGAAGTTAGATCACTGTCCATTCTGGCAGATCAATCGATTAACTGGCTACAGCCAGACAGTTATGCAAACGTGGTATGTATTTGTCCAAGACTCCACAGCTCTTGAAAGTCTGCCACTAATTTTAATTGTTATAGCAATTTTGACTTGCCTTCCTTTCAGCCAAAAGTTGCTGGGAATTCCCATGATTCCAGGCAGCATTCCTGTAGGGTTTCACTCAGTTTATCATAGAAATCATACAGCATGGGAGTACTTTTGGTTTCTTGTAGCTTTACCAGCTCTTTGAATGCAAAAGAAATAGTACATACCAAACCCACGTCCATCTAAAAGGACAAGGGCAACACATACAGAGAGCCCCACCATCTGAAACTTTCCCTCCAAGCCACTCACCATTTTGACTTGAAATGTATCACTGTTCCTTCAGTGTCATTGGGTCAGGATCCTGGAACTCCAACACTACTGACATTGTGGGTCTACCTAACCCAAATGGACTGCAGAGTCAATTCACCACCATGTTCTCCAGGGCAGTTTTGGATTGCTTGCCAGCAGCAGCACCCACATCCTATGAATTAATAAAACCAAAAGCCAACCAGGCCTGCTCATTCACATTAATCCTCTTTCATGGAATCATAGAATCCCTACAGTGTGGAAACAGGTCCTTTAGCCCAAAAAGTCCACACCGACCCACAGAGAGACCCACACCACCCAGACCCATCACCTTATAACCCACCTAATCTACACTCTCTTTCCTGTTTGGGATTTAATCTGTTTCCACTGCTCTGGTTACGTTTAGTTACAGACTTCCTGCCATTGTGAATGCTTTCTCCTTAATTATTTATTCATTTAAAAGGATATTTCATTGGTGATTTCATTCATATGAATGAGAAATAGGAGATTTCAAGAGTATCGTGGGTATGTATCCTAGGGGCATACTGAGATAGCAATGTGGGAACAGAAAAGTTAGAAACATAGAGAGTTGGAGCAGGAGTAGGCTATTCAACCCTTTGAGCCTGTTCTGCCTTTCAATATGATCATGGCTGATCTTCCATCTCAATGCTACATTCCCATCTTCTCCCCAACCCCCGAAAGCTTTTAAATGCTAAAATAACAACAAATGACATCAGATATAAAGGACAGAGGGCTAACATCTGAGAAGAAAGAATTACTAATAATGTCACCAACATGGGCAGCAGGAGGGAATGCTAGGTGATATAGGGATTAATGTCAAAGTTCTATACTCACATGTTTATCTGTTAATCAGAATATTGTCAGGGAACAAGAGATCTCATGGACAAGATGAGCTGAGAGAGATCATGAGGGGAGATCAGAGAGAAATCTGTGAAAGATGTAAGCTCAGTGGTAGGTGGGGTACCTTTTGAGAATGGTTGGCCGAGTGGGTTAATGGAATGGGAGGGAAATGGCAGTTGATCACGTGATCCCAATTTTAGCAACAAAGGGATCCCTAGATTCTTTGAAGAAGAGGGTTTCAAGGAGAGAAAGGAAGCCATTTACTATCAGGATAATCCTGGAATAGTGAGCAGTTTTTGCAGATGAAGACAAGAGCCAGCAGTGCTTTTCATGGGCAACTCAGATTAAGTGATACACATTCACTGATGCATTCATCGGAATGCAGGCTGCAGAGATGTGGAGCACAATGGGGGAGTGAGCAAGATGTGACAATTTATTAGACTTGATGGCTTCAAAGGTGACCCTGATAGAGTGATGTGATAGAGCAAGTCAATTTTGAAGGCTGCACAGTTGGAATTCTGAAAATGGAGGATTAAGTGAATGAATGGGGGTGATCATTTTTGCAGGAATGGGTACAGCAGGAGGTGAGCTTGGCACATGGAAGTCTGATTGATACAAGGGTTGATATGAGGGTTAATTCACTGATTAATCCCTCTCAAAAGAGAATATCAGTCAGTGACAGGATGGATGCAGTATATTCCCACGAGCACATAGCCTGTACATTCATCCAATAGAGCTCAAATGTGCATCTTTGTTTTCTAAATGAATGCTGCAATTATTTTCTCATAGGGTGACCCAGGACCAAGAGGGCCACCTGGAATTCCTGGATTAGATGGACAAAAGGTCTGTATGATACTCTTCTTAACACAATGTTTCAACTCTTCATTTCATAAAAATAAGACAAGGCAGCAAACAAAGTACAGACAGATAAAGTTTTACAGCAATCATTTGAATTTCCACCTGCCTTTGGCCCAGTCAAACATCCCAGTACACCTCACAGGAGTGTTATTAAGCAAAATTACAGGGAATGTAGTTTAGCGTAGGTGACTGAAAGCTCAATCAAAGGGGTTGCGTTAAAGAGCATCTTGTAAGAGGCGAGAGAGCTTGTGAGGTTTAGGGAGAAAATTCCAGACCTTGCAGGCATAGGCAGCAAAAAACGCGACTGCCAAAGGTGGAGTGACTTAGCCTAAGGATTCACCAGAAGCCAGAATTAGAGAAACATTGGAGATTATAACAAGAGGACCCTGAAAAATAGCAGTTTGAGGTTAGTGGATCATCTTTTCCACAGGGATATTTTCTCATGGCAATCAATTTGATCTTAGTATCGGCCAAGTATGCTAACCAATCATTTGTCCCAGTAACAAAACGGTCCTCACCACTTAGAGCTCTCATGCCCACAGAAATGTTTCCACACTTAGGTTGGTGAGAGGTTTTTCAGTGCTTGCCCACAAAGAAGTCGTCAATGCGGACTCCAACCAGTTACAACTATTTACACCTTAGGACTCCAATTTTGATACAACAAGGGGCTCATCAACCAAAACAGGCAGATGTATTTGATCAGAGATAGTAGGAACTGCAGATGCTGGAGAATCCGAGACAACAAGGTGCAGAGCTGGATGAACACAGCAGGCTAAGCAGCATCATAGGAGCAGAAAGGCTGACGTTTCGGGCCTAGACCCTTCATCAGAAAAGGGGGAGGGGAAGGGGGTTTCTGAAATAAATAGGGAGAGAGGGGGAGGCGGATAGAAGATGGATAGAGGAGAGGATAGGTGGAGAGGAAACAAACAGGTCGAAGAGGCGGGGATGGAGCCAGTAAAGGTGAGTGTAGGTGGGGAGTTAGGGAGGGGATAGGTCAGTCCAGGGAGGACGGACACGTCAAGGGGGCGGGATGAGGTTAGTAGGTAGGAGATGGGGGTTCGGCTTGAGGTGGGAGGAGGAGATAGGTGGGAGGAAGAACAGGTTAGGGAGGCGGGGACAAGCTCGACTGGTTTTGGGATGCGGTAGTGGGAGGGGAGATTTTGAAGCTTGTGAAATCCACATTGATACCATTGGGCTGCAGGGTTCCCAAGCGGAATATGAGTTGCTGTTCCTGCAACCTTCGGGTGGCATCATTGTGGCACTGCAGGAGGCCCAGGATGGACATGTCGTCTGAGGAATGGGAGGGGGAGTTGAAATGGTTCGCGACTGGGAGGTGCAGTTGTTTATTGCGAACCGAGCATAGGTGTTCTGCCTGTTAACAGACCTGAATTTTAACAGGGTGGTTAACCCAACTGCCTGCTGAGAATTAGCAAAATGAATTACTACCATTCCTATCATAACCACATTGTGGGCTCCGCATTAATAAATTCAACAAGGGGTCAATGATAAAATGTGGATCTGGATACAGGTTTTAGCTATATGTGTTAGAAGCCACATCCAGTGGCAGTAGCACTGAGTGGATCTATACTGTGCTAGTTTTGCAAATTGAGTTGAATGACCGGAATTTGCATTTAAAGAACCTGTAAGCTTCAGTTCTCTAAAGCATTTTGAGTGGTGATTCCCAGCCACTTCTAACCTCCTATTTCACTCCTTTCTAATATTTTCCTCCACTTATCCACCTTCAAGATTCATTTATCGTGCGTACAGCTTTCCGCACATTTTTATATAGATAAAAATGTGTTGGAGGAAGAGAAGCCACAGTGGTCTGAAAAACTTCGCTGAGTTTCTATTCTGGTAAACCAGTTGGCAAAGGATTGAACTGGAACCAACACGCCTCCATAAACGTTTATTTGCGGAGGAACATATTACAAGCACACCTCCTAACCCAACAACTACAGTTGCAGAGGTACATATTACAAGTGCACCTCCTAACCCAACAACTACAGTTTCAGTCTTGTCTATTTATAGAGATTCAAGTGAATTTCCAGTTAATGCCGTCGCCATGAAATTACTGAAATATGTTAGTCTACAATTAATGGCAAACAACAGGTAGAAATTTTAGAAAGCAGCAAGGGAAAGGGTTCCCAAGCGGTTCGAAAGATCATATCAGTCAAGACTTATCTGGCATATTTCCAAAGAACAGGGCAAGGAGAAGGCTCAATGTCACCATGAACGATTTGTGGGTCTAAGCAGTCTGTTGTGGTATGATATGCTGAATAAGTGGTCATGTTATGTCAGTGGCAATCAAAGTAACCCCTTGCTCTTATCCATTTTGTCACTAAAATGACCATGGATATTAGTTTCAGAAGATTAGACAGGATGTAAAAATAGCAAAGAATGACCAGAAAAATGAAGGAGAAATTAAAATATGATAGAAAGCTGGCCAGATATATATAATCAGATAATAAGAAATTTTGCAAGTATTTAAAAAGGAAAGGGAGGCTTTAGGAAGAGAGTCAGAAAATTAATAGTGGAAAATCAGAAAATAATGAACGATATTTTATATCTGCCTTCATTGTACGAATACCATCCCAGAAATAATTATGAATTGGGTTGGAGGTGTGTAAAAAACAGGGGAAATTTTAAAACAATTATATTCACCAGGGTAAAGGGACTGAGAACATTATTAGAATTGAAAGCTGACAGTTTCCCAGGTCCGAATGGACTTTATCCTAGGGTCTTAAAAGACTTGGCTTCTGAAGCAGTAGATGCAATGGCTTTAACTTTGCAATATTCCAAAATTCTGGCAAAGTCCCATTGGATTGGAAAATAGTAAATGCATTTCTTTATTCAAGAAAGAAGAGGGACAGAAAGCAGGAGAGTACAGGCCAGGTAGCTGAGCATCTATATAGGGAAAATGCTGTTGACATCAGATCTGCCTCTGAAATCAGTGTTTAGATGAGTTCAGCATTTGTTTTCACAGGGAAGCAAAGGCGAGCGAGGATTACCTGGGCTTGTAGGAGAAAAAGGAGACAGGGTGAGTGTTTTATGATCCTAAAACTGTATAGATGCTTCAGATGCTGCATTGTGAGATGTTACATTGAGATGCTGGCAAAATGGAATGATGTCAGTTGCCTGGTCCACCTCTGTGCCGAAATAGACAAAGCTAAGTTCAGAATAAACCATGCATCCAACTATGTGGAATGAGCAGTGTTGAATAAAACGCCTTGCATAACTAGGCCTCAAAAACAAATAGAAGAGCCTCAATACCAAACCATTCTAAGGTGCAGCTTTTGGGAACCTTGTAACAGAGTTTCTATGAGAATGTTTAATTATGTTTCTTTGAGAATGTTCTATTTTGGGAGCTTCATCCTTAAATTAAGAGAAAGGACATCGTTTGGGAACTACTTAAGTTCAAGTGACTCTCCCAGCTTCACCATAAAATCAATACAATTTTTTAAAAAGAGGCATTACCATTAAAAATGTCAAATTTCCTAATTCCAGAACCTTCTACCAACTAGGCCTCCTTTACATCACACCATTTACAAATTTTTTTGAATAGTCCCATTCATCTTCACAAAACTTTGGGCCCATTTGGGATTTTCTCTGGAGCTGCCATCTCTGGGAAACATATGCATAATAAAAGCCCACGTATTATGCAATGACAGAGAGGCTGTCGGAAATGTCAAAAATAGTGGGGCTGGCCTGAAATCACAGTGCATTTCTCCATTTTCCTTCCTGCATCAAGTACACAGAGTCAGAAGAACTCCAGCTCCATAAACACATCCTTTAAGAATTGCCTTTAGCACTCCCTAATTTCAGTCCCAGGCTGAGGTGGGTTGGTGGTAGGGGAATGTGGGAGGATCAGGGCACGCTATATTGAGATGGACTGAGGAAGCTGCCACATTTCAATGGAGTGAATGGGCTGGGCAGTAAGCCTGCCTCCGTCTCTGCCACTGTGCCTAGTAGAATAAAAGAATAAAATATAGAACATTCCACCACTCCTCAGCCCTCAGCCACCTCAGCACTCACATAGTGCCCATGGTCCACGCGTGCCACCCTATGCTTCCCCACCTATCGCTCATGGTCCCCATATTGTTGAATGAACACTTAGTGCCAATTCATATCAACCCCATAGCTCCACCCACCAGCCTTTCACCCTTCGCCCTTCACCTACCATGCCAACTCACCTCATAGCTGGTCGTATCATGCACAGGGGAAAAAATGAACCTTCTCTTACTGATTGCAGATTGGATTACTGGGAAAGGCACTCATTCATAAAATCTTACTTTCATCATCCTTGACAGGTCTGACACATTTTTGATATCTTCATAGTTCTGAGGATTTTATCCATCTTTTAGGTATAATCTTCACTAAGGGTACCTGACCCACCCCCAAGGGCATCTGACCAACAGTCCCAAAAGAGTACCTTCCCCACCCCCAAAAGTATCCTGGGGCCATAATCTTTGGGGTACCTTCCCTCTTCTAAGGAACACCCTGGCAATTCAAATGAATCCGCAAAGTTCAGATACTAAATAAAAACGGAAAGAACTACAGATGCTGTATATCAAGAATGAAAACAGAAGTTGCTTGAAAAGCTCAGCAGGGCTGGCAGCATCTGCGATGAAAAAATCGGAGTTAACGTTTTGGCTCCAGTGATGAAGGGTCACTGGACCCAAAGTATTAACTCTGATTTTTTTCTTCACAGATGCTGCTAGAGCTGCTGAGCTTTTCCAGCAAGTTCTGTTTTTGTTCCACAAAGTTCAGACCTGTTCTCAGTGGCTCTACTGTGACAAAACTCCAGGCTCATCACCACATGGAGGCTATATTCTTGCTCCAATGGAGGCCTTTGGTGATCTAAATTGCCAACTGCCTCCCTAAAATGTGCAAAACCAACCTGACTTCATTCCATGAAAATGGGAAGTGCCATCTTTGAGAGAGAGACTTGCAATTCTAGGCTACTTCCACCATTATTCATAACATCGGACAGCCTATCCATCATGATGAAGATTTAGGTCTTTATATACTACCTGATTTTTTTCAATAAGCCAGGTCATTGTCTGTATATTTTAAAACTGTTTGTTATCATTAGAAATTATGCTTTAGGTTCTGAAACAGAAGATTTTATTCTGATTCTCAGGCACAGCCTGGTGTACCGGGACTTCCAGGACCTCCAGGATCTCCAGGACCTGTAGTATGTAACAGTCTGGGTGATTCATTTGGGGGAAGGCTTTTTTTGTTTCATTCTGTTGTTCCCCTTCTGGATACATTTGTTTCTTAGCCTTTCTCCCACTTACATGCAAATGTTTAAAGATTGGAAGCCTTTGCAGTACAATGGTGCTGCGTTCACCAGACTTTAACAAAGCTGCTTGACAGGGCATGTAACAAGAGCTTACACACAAACAATGCCATTCAGCTCACCTTAAAACACAAGAATACAAAAAGCAGGAGCTGCAGCTGCCTATACAACACTTCAAAATCACACCAACATTCAGTACAATCAGTGGTAATCTGCCTCACATCCACCTTCATTCCAGAAGAGCCCAACACTCCCACTTCACCTGCTGGAATTAAATGTTCCTTAAATCATTTCAGGTTGCCACTTCCAATGTCATTTGGAAGTTAATTCTAAGTTTTCACCCCCCTCTGCATAAAGTGTAACCTCTCATTTGTATCTATTACACCCTATGCTATTCTGACTGTTTATTTTACAATAACTTTCTGGTTAACCTTTCTGTAACTTGACCATCTCACTCATCTCTACTTCCCAGACAAATCCTTATCAAGCCAGATACTTCTTTTTAAACGAACCTGGTCAGAAATGTTATTACACATCTCTGGAGCAGGTTAAACATGGGCCTCCTAGCTCAGAGGTAAAGATACTACCTTTGCATCTCAAGACTCCCTTGTCAAGCGGGAAACCCTCAGTTTTGATTAAGTTCCAACTTTTCATTAATGTGTCAAAATGACTGGTGAACAGAAACACCTCAACACTCCACTTATTCAGTTGATATAAGAAGCTTTTGTGAGGTTCTTATGTTTTAAGGAGAGTTGAATGGTATTGTTTGTGTGTAAGTTTGTGTGAAATGCCCTGTCAAACAGTTTCATCAAAGTCTGGTGAATGCAGCACCATTGTACTGAAGCAGTCCATGTCCCAATGCAGCAAGGCCTGGACAATATCCAGGTTCATAACATAACATGCGTGCCACACAAATACCAGGCAATGACCATCTCCAATAAGAGACTATCTAACTATCACCCTTGATATTCAATGGTATAACCATCACTGAAATCCCCCGCTATCAACATTCTGGGGACTACCATTGACCAGAAACACAACTGGACCAGCCATGTAAATACAATGGCTAAACGAATTGAACAGAGGCTAGGAATCCTGTAACTGACCTCCTGATTCCCCAAAGCCTGTCCACTATCTATGAGGCCCAAGTCAGGAATGGGTTGGAAACTTCCCTCTTGTCTGGATAAGACCTGCTCAAACAAAACTGAAGAAGCTTGACACTATCCAAGACAAAGCAGCCCACTTGATTGGTATCAGAATCATCCACTCTCTCCACCACTGACGCTCAGTAGCAGCAGTGTCTACCATCTGCAAGATTTACTATACAAATTCACCAAGGCTGCTTAGACAGCACCTTCCACAACCAGAACCACTACCACCTAGAAGAACAAGGGCAGCAAATACAGGGAACACCAGCCCCTGCAAGTTCCATTCCAAGCCACTCACTGTCCTTACGTGGAAATATATTACTGTTCCTTCAATGTCGCTGTGTCGAAATGCTGGAATTCCCTCACTAGTTTCATTATGGATCTACCTACAGCAGATGGACTGCAGCAGTTCAAGAAGGCAACTCATTACAACCTTTTTAAGGGCACCCTAGGAGGGTCAATAAATGCTGGTTAGCCAGCAATGCCTGCATCCCATGAGTGAATAAAAAAAACACACAGATACATGTAAACACACATACACTCAGATTCATGCTTGCACAAAGATAGAGCTACATGCCAACACCAAGATAAATACATGCACACAGAAACAGCTACGTCAAAACACACGTACTTACAGATACATGAAGACAGATATAGATACCTGCAAACACAGATATACACAGATATGTGCATAGTATTTTATGAGAAGCAAGCAAGGAAATTCTTCAGGGAATGGAAGTGACAGGAAAACAGGGTGATAAGAAAATGCCAAAATACTGGGAATGTGAAGTGAACTGAACTAACACATTTTTTTTTTATACATACATAGGGTTTAAAAGGAAGACCAGGACAAACAGGGCCCATAGGAATTAAAGGAGAAAAGGTAGAAAGAAATCAAGATTGTTCTTGTAGTGCAATTCAAAATTGAGCCTGTAGAGATTTTTGAACTATGCATTGATCAAAGAAGTTTGATGGTGGTGGGAAGTAGTCTGCAAGGATTGTTACAGTCAACTGTGAAGTGAAGACCAAAGTCAAATCTGTAGAGAATTCCACAAAAGTCTCTTTCACATTCTAAAAGCCCTTACTATTACTTTTGAGCATGCTCCTTTACAGCCTGAAGAATTGGCTTTGTTTCTTTAGCGTTAAATATTTTGCACCTTAAGGTAAGGGACACAGGTATCAAAATCATGTTGCTATATCCATGATCAAAACCGCAATTTGTTCATGCATATTCTCATTCCCTTTGATGATGCCCTCTATTGTTCCTTTCCCTCAGAAAAGTCCTAATATTATTGCAAATTAGTATTGTCATGAAATAGGAGATTTACCAGAATGGTTCCTGGGATGAGGTAATTTGGTGATAATGTTAGATTGGAGAGGCTGGGGTTTGTTCTTCTGGAGTAAAGGAGATTGAGGAGACGTCTGATAGAGGTGAACAAGATAATGACAGGTTTGGGGAGACAAGTGAAATCGCTCTCCATTGGCTGATAATACAAGGATTGAGAACATAAATCTTAGATTTTGCCCAGGGATGATGTAAGGAGGATCTTTTTATGCAGTGATAATGACGTGAAACCTGTTGCCTTGGAGGGGATAAGGTGGAAACAATCGATGATTTCAAAAAATATTGGATGTGCACTTGAAGGACCACAGGTTAGTGGGCACTGGATTTCTCAGCAGAAAGCTGGCATAGTGTTGATGGGCTGAATGGCTTCCTTCTCTGATGTAAGTGGCTCACTAACTCTACTAATTTTGCTAAGGAACATAGGAATTCTTGGTTGAGAAAAGATGAAGACCTGTCCAGTGTCACTTGTACTACTCTGCTAGTTATTAATACAGGAGAATTGTTGACTAGAGAGTTTCTGGGTAATCCAAAATGGAAGACAGGAAAAAATTGTGGCTGTAAGAGCTGCTCCTTTTTTGTAGAATCATCAAAGCCCTACAGTGTGGAAACAGGCCCTTCAGCCCAACAAGTCCACACTGACCCTCCGAAGAGCATCCCACCCAGACCCATCCCCATTCCCCTGCCCTTTCCCTGTAACCCTGCATTTCCCATGACTAACATACCTAATCTACACAGCCCTGAACACTATGGGCAATTTAGCATGGCCAATCCACTTAGCCTGACTGTGGGATAAAACTGGAGCACCCAGCGGAAACCCACCCAGACATGTGGAGAACATGCAAACTCCACCCAGACAATCGCCCGAGGGTGGAATTGAACCCGGGTCCCTGGCGTTGTGGGGCAGCAGTGCCCTCCCGTTTTTTGAGGTATTTTCAGTGTTATAAGCTCTTTTATTGTTTTGGAACTTTGAGGAAATAAATTGCAGCAAGCAGTCGCTATCAATCAGTCTACAATAGACCAAGATATGACACAAGGTAACCCATCTCTAATGAAAAACGGTAGATAGTATATGTCCAAACATTCCCTCCACTTTACCTGGGCATTATGGACATTTCTATAAGGCTGCCACATAGTGCTGCTTCACTTACAGAGAATCCTGAGATAGCCCCGCTGCTTTGCACCAATGTGAACTGTGTGTCATTGGTATTAAAGTGGCAATAGCATTCTAACTATAAAGTGGCACTGTGAAGTGGGTTCAGCTTTGCATCGGAATCTCATCCCCCCGCCAAATTAAACTCTCACCAACCACTCTAGCAAATCTCCTGCAAGGATATTGGTCCCATTCTGGTTCAATTGCAATCTGTCCAGCATGTCAGAAAGGTCCCACCTTCCTAAGAAACTATCCCAGTGTTCCAGAAATTTAACACCGTCCCTCTGGATTCAACTCTTTAGCGACGCATTCTTCTGTTCTTTTCCGGTACTCACTAGCATGTGGTGTGTAGCGTGAGGTCCTGCCCTTTAAATCTGCTACCTGGCTCACTAAATTCTCGTTGCAGGATCTCATCCCTCTTTCTACTTGTGTCATTGCTACCATAGCAAATGACCTCTAAATATTCACCCTCCCCCTTCAGAATGCCCTGCAGGCATTCGGTGACATCCTTGACCCTGGCCCCAGGATCCTGGAGTCACAACTGCAGCTCCAGTAAAACCTGTTTTTACCCTCTCTATTGAATTTCCTGCGGCTGTTATTCTTCCTCTCTTCCTCTGCTTTATGCAGCTGGGCTCAGCCTGCACTCCCTAGAGGAATCATCAGTCTCACCTTTTTCCAACACACAAAATCTGTTCTTGAGTGCAATGCACTGTGGAGCTTTCCTGACTTCCTGCCACTCCCCCTTCTTCTGACTGATTGTCACCCATTCCTTCTCTGACTGCACTTTCAATGTGAGGAGGAGTTGACTCTTCTTTCTGTCAAGTTCATGGCAACAGAATAAGAAGCTGACTGATAAATACAGAGTGGTGTGCTTTTGTGATAAAATGAGATTGCTTTTTTGGAACATGCTATTCTGAATTAGTAACAATATGTCACCAGACTAAAGATTCCTAAACCAAGAAATTGCACTTCCAAATTTAAAACATTTTTTCAAATTTTGAATTCAAAAATGGAACAACTAAAATGTATCTGGAAATTCTCAGATTGCATCCTTTTTTTCTTTATTCTTTGTTTGTATTTGGACATCACTGTTAAGTTTGTGGCCCAGCCTGAATTGACCCTTGAACTGCATGGCTTGCTCAGCCATTTCAGAATGCATATATTTTCAGAGTGGCCACCATATAGCTGTGGGTCAAGTATAGGACAGACAGGTAAAGACAGAGGATTTCCTTCCGTAAGGGACATTAGTGAATCAGATCAGTTTTCAAAGTAAAAAATGATAGTTTTGTAGTTGCAAGACCAGAGTTTGTTTGAGATTTATTCATTGAATTTAAATTCTACCACTGCTGGCTTGTGATTAACACACATGTCTCCAGAACTGGATTTCTAGTCTAGTGACATTTCTAGTACGTAATCACCATCGCCGCCATCCCCTATAAAAAGTCTGCATGCAAACACTGAGCGTAATTGGAAATCATTTCCTTGACCATTATTTTTACACTTTCCTTGGGTCATTGTGGCATAAAATGGTCCATTTGGAAGTGTAGTACATGATTCAGAGTCTCGGACTTAATGTTCCGGCTGAATAATATTGGAATGAGCTGGGGAGGGATCTGAAGAACCAGTTTTTTTTATAGTGACTGTAATAATCTAGAACTCACTGCCCATAAGTATGTTGGAAGTGGAGATAATCAGTGATTTCAAAAGGATGTTGATTGGGCATTTGAGGGAAAGAAACCTGCAGGGTTATGGGGTAGACCAAGAGGATGGCCTGATTGGATTCTTCTACAGAAAGCCAGGATGTATTTGGTGGGCTGAATGGCATCCACCGGTGCTGGAATGAGTTGGTCTCTATGTGAGTTAACAATCTCATTTGAACCATTGAATCATGTGAGACAATAAGAGATCGCTTGGCCCGTTATGGAGTGTAATATTTGCTGAATTGCGCATCAACTTTTTTGATTGGAGATTCTGTGCACTATTGATATGGAAGGCGGTTACACTGTAACACGGAACAATACAGCACAGGAACAGGCCCTTTGGCCCATCATGTCTGTGCCAACCATGATGCATTCTAAACTAATCCCATCTGTTAGCACATGGTCTTTATCACTCTATTCCGTTTGTTCATGTGTCTGTCTAAAGGGCTCTTAAACTTTGCTATCATATCTGCTTCTACCACGTCCCCAACAGCGCCTATTCCAAACACCTATCACACTCTCTGTAAAAAATTAGCTTCTTACATTTCCTTTCAACTTTTCCCCTCTCACCTTAAACCTATGCCCCTTAGTATTTGACATTTTCAACCTGGGGGAAAATACTTTGATTATCTACCCTATCTATGCTTCTCATAATTATAACTACATTTATCAGGTCACCCCTGAACTTCCAAAGTTCTGGCGAAAACAATCCAAGTTTGGCAACCTCCCCTCAAAGCTAATATATTATAATTCAGGTAACAATGTGGTAAACCTCTTTCGCACTCTCTCCAAACCTCCACATCCTTTGTATAATGTGGCAACCAGAATTATACACAGTACACCAAATGTGGCCTAACTAGAGTTTTATATTGCTGCAACATTACTTGCCAACTTTTATACTCAATGCCCTAATTATTAAAGGTATTATTACTACCCTATCCACTTGTGTTGTCACTTTCAGAGCCACTTTCACAGTTAGAGAATAAAGCTTCAATAATTTAGTCACTGCTGAAGTTATTTCTATTTAGATTGAATGTGAACATAGCTGAAACTGAGACATCTCTTGTCTATCACAGGGCAATGAGGGGGCATCAGGCAAACCAGGACCACCTGGACCACCTGGACCTCAAGTGAGTCCCCAGTACATTCTAAACTCAACAGTATTAACTTAATGTGGAATTTGAATAAAGATCAAATTGGATCAAGTTGATTATGTTTTGCTTTGAATCCCAATTATTTCTACCTTTTCCAGTTCCCTCTTGAACCCATTAATGTGTCTCAAACCTCTGAGCTACCCTGGAATTTAATCAAGAAGCCCATCAGTTACTTGGCCTTGCCTCAGACTTTAGATCCATCAGAACCACAATTATCTTGATTGTTCAGATCTCCAAGCACATAAGCCCCATAAAATAGGAAATGGAGTAAACCATATGACTCATCGAACTCTTCCACCATTCGATATGATCATGGCTGATCTTCCAACTCAGTTCCACTTTCCCATCTGCCTGCCCCATTTCCCGTAATTCCCTGAAAAGCCAAAAGGTGGAGCTTGATTTTTAGTTCAGAGTCTGGGATCCAACAGCTGGACCATTTCCAGATCCTCACCCAGTACTACATTTGCATCATTAAAGAAATGCATTTCTCAAATGTATTAACCCATGTTGGGTTGTAGATGTTGGAGTGTTCACCGAGCTGGGAGGTATGAAAGCAGACATTTTGTCCCCTTACTTAGGTGACACCCTAGTCAGGGAACTTCCTGTGAAGCACTGTTGTCTTGTGCCAGTTTGAATTTATATGGTCTGGTTTGTGCTGCTTCGAGTAGGTGCCGGTTCTGGTTGTGCATTGTAATGGTCGACATTTCGGGTCTAATTCAATGTGTTTGTTGATGGAGTCTGCGGATGAATGCCAAGCCTCCAAGAATTCCCTGGCTGTCCTCTGTTAGACTTGTCATATGATAGTAGTGTTGTCTCAGTTGAAAGTGTGGTTTTTCTCATCTGTGTGTATTGAAACCAAGGACATTTGGTTGTGTTGTTTAGATGCCAGCTGGCGTTCGTGGATGCGAGTTGCTAGTTGTCTGCCTGTTTGTCCTATGTAGTGTTTTGTGCAGTCTCCACATGGTATCTTGTAAACTACATTTGTTCAGTCCATGGTATCTACATAGAACATAGAACAGTACAGCACAGTACAGGCCCTTCGGCCCACGCCGTTGTGCCAAACTTTTGCCCTAAACCTAAGGTCTATCTAACCTCCACCCCTACCTTATACTATCATCCATATGCCTATCTAATAGCCGCTTAAATGCCCCTACTGAAGCCGACTCCAGTACCCTCTCCAGCAATGCATTCCACGCCCCTACCACTCTCTGAGTAAAGAACCTACCTCTGACGTCTCCTCTATATCTACTTCCACTCACTTTAAAACTATGTCCCCTCGTAATAGCTATCTCCACCCTAGGAAAAAATCTCTGGCTGTCCACTCTATCCATACCTCTGATCATTTTGTACCTCTATCAAGTCACCTCTCATCCTTCATCATTCTGAAGAGAAAAGCCCTAGCTCTCCCAACCTTTCCTCGTAAGACCTTCCCTCCATTTTTAGGCAATATCCTGGTAAATCTCCTCTGCACCTTTTCCAATGCTTCCACATCTTTCCTGTAATGAGGCGACCAGAACTGGACACAGTACTCCAGATGTGGCCGAACCAGGGTTTTGTATAGCTGGAGCATAACTTCACGGCTCTTGAACTCATTCCCTCTATTAATGAAAACTAACACACCATACACCTTCTTAACTACTCTATCTACCTGGATGGCAGCTTTCGGGGAACTGTGGACATGAACCCCAAGATCCCTCTGCTCCTCCACACTGCCAAGAATCTTTCCGTTAACCCTGTATTCTGCTTTCAAATTTGTCCTTCCAAAATGAATCACCTCACACTTTTCAGGGTTAAACTCCATCTGCCACTTCTCAGCCCAGCTCTGCATCCTATCATTGTCCCTTTGTAACCTAGAACAGCCCTCCGCACTATCCACAACTCGACCCACCTTCGTATCGCTCGCGAACTTACTAATCCACCCTTCCACTCCTACATCCAAATCATTTACAAAAATCACAAATAGGAGAGGACCCAGAACAAATCCTTGTGGTACACCACTCATAACTGAACACCATGTTGAATATTTTCCATCCACTACCACCCTTTGTCTTCTAAGGGTCAGCCAATTCTGAATCCAATCTGCCACACTTCCCCCTATCCCATGCCTCCTTACTTTCTGCATGAGCCTACCATGGGGAACCTTATCAAATGCCTTACTTAAATCCATGTATACCACATTCACTGCTCTACCTTCATCCACATGTTTGGTCACCTCTTCAAAGAATTCGATAAGGTTTGTGAGGCATGATCTACCTCTCACAGATCCATGCTGACTATCATGAATCAAACTGTGCCTATCCAAGTGATCATCAATCCTATCTCTCAGAGTCCTTCCAATAATTTTCCCACCACTGAAGTAAGACTAACTGGCCAGTAATTTCCAGAGTTTTCCCTATTCCCTTTCTTGAACAAGGGAATGACATTTGCCACTCTCCAATCTTCCGGCACTTCCATGGACAGTGAGGACGAAAAGATCATTGCTAAAGGCCCCGCCAGAATATATGATTTTACCATCTCAGCAATCCCCTCACACTGTCGCCCGACTCCCGCCACTGAACACATGGTATCTATTGAGTCTTTAACCCTGCTGTCTTAGTGTGGCTGCCGGTTTGTGTGCTGTCATGATTCCTAGCGGTCTGAGTAGTCTGGCTGTCAGTTCTGAGGTGTTTTTTATATATGGTATGGTGATTATTATTTCGGGTTTTGGTGTGTCCTGGTTGTGTTGTCTGTTGGCTAGGCATCTGTGGATGAAGCTTTGGGGGTATCCATTCCTGGTAAGGACCTCGTAGAGGTGTTCTTCTTCCTTCTGCAGATCGGATGTGCTGCAGTGAGTAGCAGTCCTTTTGAACAGGGTCCTAATGCAGCTCCTCTTGTGTGAGTTGGGGTGGTTGCTGTGATAGTTTAAGACCTGGTCAGTATGTGTGGATTTCCTGTCTACTTTTGTAATGAAATCACCATTCACTTTCTTTCCACTATCACATCCAGGAACGTGAGTTTGTTCTTGTTTTCCTTCTCTCTTGTAAATTTGATCCCTGTGCATATGGTGTTGATGAGTTGCTGGGTGTTCTCAAATTTCTGTTCTTTTCGTAATTACAAAAGTGTTGTCCACATATCTGTTCCAGAGCTTGGGTTAGATCTGTAGGAGGGCTGTTTGTTCCAGCCTTTGCATGATTGCCTCAGCTATCAGTCTGGAGATGGGTGAGCCCAAGGGAGTCCCGTTCATCTGCTCATATATCTTCCTGTTGAATATAAAGTGGGTTATTAGGCATAAGTCCAGTATTGTGAGTATGCAGTTTTTGTAGTGAGTATGCAGTGTGTGAGTATGCAGTGAGCATGATCTGTTCTCATTATGTCGTCTGTTGTGTTCGCCTAGTTGGTTGGATATGGTTCCTTTGTCTAGGTTTCTGTCAATTGTTACAATGCTGTTATATCAAATAAGACCTTCTTTGTCTATTTTTGTGTTCTTGATGTTGCCCAGGAATTCTTGTGTTGAATGTCTGGAATGCCTTGAACCACTGATTAGATGTTTAAGCTAGTTCCTTTGCTAATTTGTGTGATGGCATTCCTGGTAAAACTACAATTGGTCTGAGGGGTATGTAAGGCTTGTGTACCTTAGGCAGTCTGTAGAATCTTGGAGTGTTGTTGCCTTCTGGTTTCATCCTTGGTAGTTCTGTTTTTTTTTAATCTATCCTGTTTGTATAGGTTCCGTAGTGCATTGGTTATTCTGTTTGTTAGCTGTGGTGTGAGGTCCCACTTCTCTGTTGGTAGGTTTGTGTATCTGCAAGTAGTTTAGCTTTTTTTACATTAAACAGCAAGATATATGAGCAGATCAATGGGACTCCCTTGGGCTCACCCATCTCCGGATTGATAGCTGAGGCAATCATGCAAAGGCTGGAACAAACAGCCCTCCCACGGATCCAACCCAAGCTCTGGATCAGATACGTGGACGATACTTTTGTAATTATGAAAAGAACAAAAATTGAGAACACCCACTGATTCATCAACACCATACTCACAGGGATCAAATTTACAAGAGAGGAGGAAATTAACAACAAACTCCCATTTCTGAACATGATGGTGGAAAGAAAAGAGAATGGTGACTTCACTACAAAAGTATACTGGAAATCCACACATACTGACCAGGTCTTAAACTATCACAGCAACCACCCCAACTCACACAAGAGGAGCTGCGTTAGGACCCTGTTCAAAAGAGCTGCTACACACTGCAGCACACCTGAGCTGCAGAAGGAAGAAGAAGAACGCCTCTACAAGGTCTTTACCAGGAATGGATACCCCCAAAGCTTCATCCACAGATGCCTAGCCAACAGACAACACAACCAGGACACACCAAAACCGGAAACAATAATCACCATACCATATATAAAAAACCACCTCAGAACTGACAGCCAGACTGCTCAGACCGCTAAGAATCATGACAGCACACAAACCGGCAGCCACACTAAGACGGCAACTGACCAGGGTTAATGACCCAATAGATACCATGGACAGAACAAATGTAGTTTACAAGATACCATGCGGAGACTGCACAAAACACTAGATGGGACAAACAGGCAGACAACTAGCATCCACGAACACCAGCCAGCAACTAAACAGCACAACCAGATGTCCTTGGTTTTAATATGCACAGACGAGAAAAACCACACATTCAGCTGAGACAACACTACTATCATAGGACAAGCTAAACAGAGGACAGCCAGGGAATTCTTGGAGGCTTGGCATTCATCTGCGGACTCCATCAACAAACACATTGAATTAGACCCGATATACCAAACATTACAACGCACAACAGGAAGGGGCACCTACCGGAAGCAGCGAAAACCAAACCATATAAAATCAAACTGGCACAAGACAACAGCGCTTCACAGGAGGCTCCATAACACTGAGAATGCCACCTAGTAAGGGGATACAATGTCTGCTATCAAAACTCCCAGCTTGGCGAACACACCAACATCTACAACCAGCACCCAAGCTACAAATCTTCACTCAAACCCTGACTATGTTGGGTTTGCAGAGAGGTCAGCACTGAATTAGTGGCATTAAATACTGTCAGTAGGAGGGAGTGGCCTTCAGATGGTAAGTTAACAAATGTAGAAGGCAGACATGATGGAGTCTGTTCCTATCTACCAGAAGAGAGGAGGCCTTATCTCAGGAGGTCAGCAGCCTCAATACGCATTAAAATGACCAAATGGTGAATGGAAAGTATTGCACCTGATCTAGATCAAAGCCCCCAGGATCCCAAAAATGTCTTCCCAAATAAAAACAAAGCCTATAACCTCTACCTGTACTGGACTCAACATCAAAAAGTTTGATTTTAGTGATTTATAAAATGAAACTCACCTCCTTGCCCTCCTCAACTCATCAACAAGGCCCCCAAGAAGCCTAACAGACTGTTAATTGAGGTGAGAAAACTCCCTCAATCTGAAATAATCCATTTCCTGAAGACTTAATAATTGAAGGACTAAGTTGTCATGTTCATGTGATCAGTAGGTTTAATGTTTGCAAAAATTCAGCCTGATCTTACAATCTGTCTGTCTACAGAGCACTGCTATCTATGAAAGAAATGGAATGAGCAGTATATACAAGATACAGGTACAATTTATACATACCTTATCATGCAAAATGCACACTTTGTATCCATTGAGAGATCTGAGCTATGTTAAATTTTGTTTTTCATGTCTTTGTTTTGGGATACAGCTGTTCACTATGCTGCTTTTACACTCATGCTGGACAAATCTTTTGTTTCTTTATTACAACCATTCTACAACTAACCCTGTCCCTTTTGTCTTTTAATCTCTCCCACCCTCCAACCTTTCACGGACCTTTCCTTTAGTTCTTCCTCCCATCCCCACTTTCACTTGTTGCTTTTCCATCTCCCTTCAGTTCTCAAGAAAGGTCCTTCACCTGAACTATTTTCTGTTTTAGTCTTTTCTTTCTTTCATTTTCACATGATGGCATGTAAATATGGCATGTGATCTCACATTTCATTTAGTATCTTCTAAGCTCATTGAAACATAACTTTTGAATATTTCTAAGGCCAAGGTAGATAGGTTCTTGATAAGCAGGGAGGTAAGCAGGAATGTGGAGTATTGAGATCAGCCATGATATAATTGAATGGCAGAGCAGATATGAGGGGCACATGTCCAACTTCTAATTCAGATTTTCCTTTCGGATCTGTAAGTCATGACTTTCTTAACTTTAAAACTATGTAACTCCACCTTGAATAAATTCAATGACTCAACCTTAAGTAGTATGTGCTCCTAATTAGTGTGTTCTTAAATATAAATATAGATTTTGTTAATGTCATTAATTTTAGTTAGAGAACCTCTCAGAAGTGAATGCTTGTAGAAAGTAACCATTTATAAGATTCAGTATTTTAGTCCAACCTCTATTTAAGTTTAACTTGCATCCTTGAGATCTCTTGATTTGCTTTTCTGATTAGCGAGCTTGTGCTCATTTTTAGTATATTCTTCATCACTTGAAGCTAGAGTACTCAAGTGGTGCAGTGTTACTGTCCCTGCCTCTGACTCAGGAGACCTAGGTTCATGTCCCACATGCTCCAAAAGTTTGTAATAATACCGCTGAGCAGGTTGGTTAGCAGATGCCTATTATCACTTGAGGCTCTGCCTCAATATGCTTGAAAGCTTCTGTCCTCACAATGGTTTTCTAGATCAACTCTGTTGAGTTATTTTTATTTTATTTCACTTCGTATTGTATTGCCTAACCATTTAAAATGATATTTGTTTAATATGTGCTGTTAATCCTTGGTGTGTATTTAAGATACTCTGGGTCTGTTATTTCTCAATCCCATTGAGGTTAATTTTATTTGCCTGTAAATGAACTCCAATTCAAAATAGTTGATATGGTGAATATTCTTCAGGTAGCAATGTAAAGGTTTTACCTGCTGTCCTGTGATGAACCTGGCCCTTGCTGTATGGTCTGTCTCCATCACACTCTCCTTCTCAGTTATGATCTCCTCATTTTAGCCTACAGTCAACAGTGTAGGAGGCATATGAATAATGTTATTTAATCATGACAATGACTAACAAATGCTTTGCAAATGTTCTAATCACTGAATATCTTACAGGACATTCCAGGCCCACCTGGACCTCCAGGTTCACCAGTGAGTTAATAATTCATACTGAGTATTGCTTCTGTGCTGCGATTTAAGAATATTTTGGCTGGCATTTCTTTGATCAAATTTGCTCAGGAATGTATGCCAATTTCTACATTTTAAAAACTGAATAAACAAAATTGGGTTAAAAAGCCTCTGATGGGGTACTATAACAAAAATAATGGAAAACTACAGAAGGGAACTAACAATAATGTTCATAATTGTAAAAGCACATCTTGTTCACTAATGTAATTTAAAGAAGGAAATCTGCCATTTTTACCTAATCTGCCCCACATGTGGCTCCAGACCCACAGCAATGTGGCTGACTTTTAATTGTTCACTGAGCAGTTAAATGTGGGTAATAAATGCCAGTCTAGCTTGAAGTGCCCACATCCTATGAACAAGTAACAAAAAATTATATTAAAAAAGCAGAAATTAGCAGAAAAAATTGGAAAATACCACTCTCCTTCTTTAAGCCTTTTTTGTCCAATTGATATTATGAAAGGGGTTTTCTTTTGCATGAAACAGCTTCTGATTTTAAACAGACACCTATCAATGCGGTGGAAATGGATCTAAATTTTCAACCAGATCATGGACAATGTGCAAAAATCTTGTGTTCACTGTTCCATTACATGGTGAGATCAGAACTAGTTTAATGATCTAATGGAAGCAGTTGGTTGACCAATATGTGGTGGTGTTTTGGGGAAAAAAAAGAGTTAATCAATTACTTTTGAATTTCAATGGAAGAAAAAACATGCTTCAGTTCCATTTATACAATAAAATCCCAAGGAAATTCTGAGCAAATTTTTTTGAAAGGTAATTGTTTAATTTCGTTGATATCCTCACTGTAACTAAGAAGTAAATTATTTATAATCTCCATGAACAAATGCAAATCTTGAAGATGTGGCTAATCTTTCACCTGCAAGCATTTTTTAAGAAGGTCTAATGTCCATTAAAGAAGAATTGGTGCATTTGTAAATCATTTACAATTTATGTAGATGATTTGGAGTTGGGGACCACGTGTAGGGTGTCAAAGTTTGCAGATGACACTAAGATGAGTGGCAAAGCAAAGTGTGCAGAGGACTATGAAACTTTGCAGAGGAACATAGATACATTGAGTGAGTGGGCAAAGGTCTGGCAGATGGAATACAATGTAAATAAATGTGAAGTCATACATTTTGGTAGGAGTAATAGTAAAAAGGATTATTACTTGAATGGTAAAAAGTTGCAGCATGCTGCTATGCAGAGGGACCTGGGTGTCCTTGTGCATGAATCACAGAAGGTAGGTCTGCAGGTACAGCAAGTAATTAGGAAGGCAAATGGAATTTTGTCCTTCATTGCTAAAGGGATTGAAATAAAAAGCAGAGAGGTTATGTTGCAGCTGTACAAGGTGCTGGTGAGGCCACACCTGGAGTACTGTGTGCAGTTTTGGTCTCCTTACTTGAGAAAGGATGTACTGGCACTGGAGGGGGTGCAAAGGAGGTTGACTAGGTTGATTCCGGAGTTGAGGGGGTTGGCTTATGAGGAGAGACTGAGTAGATTGGGATTATATTCATTGGAATTCAGAAGATTGAGGGGGGATCTTATAGAAACATATAAAATTATGAAGGGAATAGATAAGATAGAAGTAGAGAGGATGTTTCCACTGGCAGGTGAAGCTAGGACAAGAGGGCATAGCCTCAAGATTAGAGGGAGCAGATTTAGGACTGAACTGAGAAGGAATTTCTTCACCAAGAGGGTTGTTAATCTGTGGAATTCCTTGCCCAGTGAAGTAGTACTTCAGTAAATGTTTTTTAAAAAAAGGTAGATTTTTTTTTAACAATAAAGGAATTAAGGGGTACGGTGAGAGCGCGGGTAAGTGGATTTAAGTCCACGAAAGGATCAGCCATGATCTTATTGAATGGCGGAGCAGGCTCGAAGGGCCAGACGGCCTCCTCCTGCTCCTAGTTCTTATGTTCTTATGTTCTTATGTAAAGTCGTACAGAATTTCTGGATGTGAATACCAGCAGCTCTCTTTTTTAACCGATTGCTTTTCTATCACAGGGTTTGAAAGGAGATCCTGGCTCAATGGTAAGCATTTAGGAGCTTCCCATTCCAAAAGTTGTAATAGATGAAAAAATAACCTCAGAATCAGTGCAAATAAAAATGACACTCATCAAACATTTATCTGAAATCTTATGTGCTATTTAAACATCTTAAACTGCTTCACATTGGTGTAGCTACAACTGCATTACAAGAACAAACTTAAAATACTTGAGAATCCTAACCTTGTTGAGGTTGGATACAGCATTAAACTTTCTCCTACAATCTTCTGAGTAGGAGAGGTTGTTTGACATTGCATTAACTACTATCACATTATTAAAAGGGGAGTGCATGGTAATAAGCAGGAGCCTCAACATCCAGCACTAAATTTAATGGACACTGGCTGAGGAAGTTCTGAGAAAAGGTCACTCGAACCAAAACGTTAACTCTGATTTCTCTCCACAGATGCTGCCAGACTTGCTGAGCTTTTCCAGCAATTTCTGTTCTTGTTTAATGGACAGTTAGTAGGTACCTGAACATGGGGGTGGAGCCTGATGACAAGAAAGTGGTCATGCACAGCAAAAAGAAGAGTGATTAAAGATTACCAGCAGGGGTTCTGGAGGTTCTAACCTCATTGCGTTTCACTTGATTCCATGGATCTACTGTTTGGTTTGCACAGGAACAACTGGTCAAATTACTGACATGCCATATCTAGTTGTGGAAATTTTATTAGCAGGATGCATGGCAATATCCTCAACAATCCAGTACCATCATTAACTGAAGAAGGTGTTCTGGCCAAAATATCAAGAGAACACCTTCCCCCTTTCCAAATAGTGACATATCAAACAAAGTAACCCTTCATACACTGTTAGAGTCTCAACTTAGACTGGGGTTCTCGGTCATAGAGTCATAGAGTAATAAAGTGTGGAAACAGGTACTTTGGCCCAAACTGGTCCATGCTGACCATGGTGCCCACTCAGCGAGTTCCAACTGCCCACATTTGGTCCATATCCCTCTAAAACCCTTCCCATCCATTTACCTATCCAAATGTTTTTTAAATGTTGATATTGTACCTGCCTCAACCACTTTCTCTGGCAGCCCACACCATATATGCACCACTCTCTGCATGAAGAAGTTGTCCCTCAGGTCCTTCTTAAATCTTTCCCCTGTCACCTTACACCTATGCCCTCTAGTTTTCAATTCCCCATCCCTGGGAAAAAGACTATATGCGTTCATCCTATCTATGCCCCTCATGATTTTGTACACCTCAATAAGGTCACCCCTCATTCTCCTACGTTCCAAGGAATAAAGTCCTATCCTGGCCAACCTCTCCCTATAACTCACGTCTCCTAATCCTGGCAACATCCTCGTAAATCTTCTTTGCACACTTTCCAGTTTAATTGTCATTCCTATAACAGGATGACCAAAACTGTACACAATACTCCGAGTGCATCCTTACCAGCGATTTAGCAATTGTAACATAACGTCCCAACTCTTATGCTCAAAGCCTCGACCGATGAAGGCCAGCATGCTAAATGCCTTGTTCTCCACCCTGTCCACTGTGATGCCGCTTTCAATGAACTATGTACTGTACTCCTATGAACCTCTGTTCCACTCCTCAGGACCTTACCATTTACTGCATAACTCCTACCTTGGTTTGACCTTCCAAAGTACAACACCTCACACTTATCAGTATTGAATTGCATTTGCCAGTCCTCAGCCCACTTCCCCTTCTGATCAAGATATGTCTGTTATTTTTCATAACCTTCCTCGCTATTAACAATACCTCCTAATTTTGTATCATCCGCAAACTTACTAATCATGCCTTGTACATTCACATCCAGATCAGAAAAAGATAGAAATAAAGCAGAAACCTTTTGGAAGTGTAACAGATGTGAGCTGAGCTGATAGAGAAAGTGCAAGTAATGTTCTGGGTATAGCAATGACCTTTGTACTTTTCATAATCTGTATGAGTCCATTGTGCCCATATGATTAGCATGACAGATGCCAGAATTAATGTATAGTTAAAAAGTAGCACGTACTTAATGGTTCCAAATGAAAGGACATTAATGCAGTCAAGCTGGGGATGTATTGCATTGAAAAACGTTTAATTCTTCCTTTGGTGCTCATGACTAGCTGCAGTAAGCCAATGATGTTTCACTTGTATGGTAATGACTGACTCTTACACTCTTACAGGGAGAAATGGGCCCAATGGGATTGCCAGGATTAGAAGGTCCACCAGGGGAAAAGGTATCTCTCTCCCTCTCTTTTCCTTCTTTCCTTTCTCCACTTCTCAGGTTTTTTTTTTATCATCATACTTTTCTTCCAGTTTTCTTTCTTTTTACCTTTCCTTCTCCGACTATCTGACTTTATGCTATAATACCACTTCACAGATGTTGGTTTCCTTCGAGTAGCTGATACAACTGCCCATAATTCATATATTTGCCCTCAATGTCAAGAAACCCTTCACTCATGAAGGATTTGTGGCCAACTCTGACCTTGTCCACACTGAACGTTGGCACATCCCTTCTTCAGCAGGTGTCCGCGGATCGACCGGGAATAGGCTGTTTTTTCACATTCTCTTGACCTTGATAGATCTCCTCAGTGGTCATATCCCATTATTAGCCAGGTTTGAATTCACTGGGATTGATTGAGAACTGAACATGGGTCCTTTTGTAAAGTGTGGCTTAACTTTCTGATTCTGGTGATCCTGCCTGACCCCGTAAATCTTGATTCCCTTGTTTTATTGAAATCCTTGAGTCAATGACCCAGCCTCCCATGTACTCTGTGGAAGAGAATTCCAATGACTAATGACCATCTGAGAGAAAACATTCCTCCTCTCAGTCTTATCCAGGACACATCTCATTCTTAAAGTGTCTCCCCTAGATATAGATTCCCCTGTGAGGGGAACCATTCTCCTAGCATCTACCCTGTCAAGTTCCCTTATAATCTTAAAAATTTCAAAAGAAATCACCTCTCACTCTTCTAAACTCCAATGACTATAGGCCTAATTTGTCCAAATTCATAAGACAACTCTCACATCTCAAGAGTCAGTTGAGTGAACCTTCTCTCAATTGCTTCCAATGTAATTATATCCCTCTTTAAGTGAGGGGACCAGACATACACACAAATGTGCCTTACCAAGGCCCTGTAGAGTTGTAGCAACAATGCTGAAGCAACAAACGTGAAAGCTTATGAGTTTCAACATTTTAATGTCCAACACTCATGAGGAATTGTGATTAAGGCTCAGTAAATAGAATGTGCTTCTGTTGTTTAATGGACTGATAAACATGTACAGCCTAATCTGAGGGTTTGTCACTTACTTGTACAATCTTGTTTCGATGTATTTCTAGGGAGATCCAGGAATGCCAGGGCCACCTGGTCCTCAAGGACTGACTGGTCCACAGGTGAATATTTGAATGGAAGGTGGATAATAGTGATGAATTTGTATGTGGAAAAACAATGTAATCAAATTGCATGGTGCTGCCTAACTACCATTGGCTTGTCATTCTATGAGTGAGTTCATTCATCAGTAAGATTCATCAGCTTTCTGTTCAAAAATAGATCGTTTCAACAATACAACTGTTTCAACAGAAAATAGTTCAAACAATGTAACTTGGAATCAATTTAGGATGAAGATTGTTCCTCAGTGTTTCTGAGAAGAATTGGGACTCTTTTTATTCTTTTAGAGTTTAACCATTGATTGTACATGCTATTAGATCACATAATTGGCTCTGAGTCCTTGGGCTGGATGTGACAGACCCCACCCTGGGCTTACTTTTGGCAGTGCAGGTGGGGAGGAGGAATTTGTAAATATGAGAGTGTCTTGTCCACAGCCTTCGTGCCCAACCCAACCTGATCACTCGCAATACGACTCAAACCAGACAACTTGAGGCTATATAAGGCTCTCAATCTGCCTTCGAGTGCTGGGTAGTGACAGGTGGATGAAAGTAGAAAGAACTTTAGTTTACAACTTCACTGAAAAGGCCCTGAAGGAAGGATGGTCACATCTTTTGAATGGAGCCCGCTGTGATTCAGCGGTGTCCCCACCTACATGGTGTTACTCCATTTTACCCCAATCACCTAGATTCTAAAGACTACCCCCTACATATTTGAGAGTGCGAGTACAGCCTTCAGCCTATTCGTGTCCCCCTCCTTATACCCATGCCTTGTTTTATTGCTGAGGGTCAAGCTTGATAAACATCAGTCAGTCCTAAATTACTTTTCTTCATGGGGGTGTTTGGGGAACAGTGTGAGCAGTACCACCCTCCTCAACCCTCCCATATACTCCAGCCTTTACTCTGGAGTTTAGCACTGGCCCCTGATGTGAATTGTTAATCAATGGTCTGCTATCAAAGTCTGACTTAATGGGGAGCCATTTGAACAGCATGATGAGCTTTGGGCAAAGAGTAATGTAGGACTAATTGGTACTCCTTCAGAGAACCAAGACAGGGACAATGTACCAGATGGACTCCTTCTGCCCTGCATCATTCTGTGATCCTATGAACCCACTTTCATCAGAGCAATATCGTTCATAAGTAATGCAGCAATTGTAAGAAAATAGTAAATATTTTAGTTTACGACCCTGAAGGCAATGTTATTTCAATTGGTATTTTACTCTAGTAGCTCATCAATAGAAATGTCTGAAAAGCTTGTTTTTATTCTTTCTTTACAAAAGGGGAAACCTGGTCTTCCTGGTCAGCCAGGGCCAATTGGTGTAACGGGCAAGCCAGTGAGTTCAATTCACATTATTATTTATTTTCACATTGACTAGCATTTGGAAAATAAAGTTTCATTTTGCCTCTGTATTGGTAGGGATTGAAAGGGGATAGAGGACCATTGGGAGGAACTGGCTTTCCTGGACCAGAAGGACCCCCTGGTGCTCCAGTATGTACCAAATTGATTTTTTAATTAGAATGTTACTTGTCGTAATGTGTGTTGCAATACTCAAAGGCAATGGACAATTACCTGTTCAGTGATGAGTATGGAAATACACTATATTCCACTCATGAAAGATCTCCAAGATTGCTGCTTCCATAACTGAATGCTATAAGAACAAAAAAACTTTCCAGCGCCACAAGCCAAATGACCCTGACGTTCTTAAAGTCATAAAGATGTACAGCACGGAAACACACTGTTCGATCCACCTCGGTCAGATATCCTAAATAAATCTTGTCCCATTTGCCAGCCTTTGGCCTATATCCCTCTAAACCCTTCCTATTCATATATCCATCCGGATGCCTTTTAAATGTTGTAATTTTACCAGCCTCCACCACTTCTCTGGCAGCTCATTGCATGCATGCACCACCCTCTGCGTGAACAAGTTGCCCCTTTAGGTTCCTTTTAAATCTTTACCCTTTCACCTTAAACCTATGATCTCTAGTTTTGGACTCCCTCATCCCGGGTAAAAGACCTTGTCTATTTATCCTATCTATGCCCCTCATGATTTTATAAAACTCTATAAAGTCACTCCTCAGCCTCCAATGCTCCAGGAAAAATAGCCCCAGCCTATTCAGCTTCTCCCTTTAGATCAAATCCTCCAACCCTGGCAACATCCTTGTAATTTTTTTCTGAATCCTTTCAAGTTTAACAACATCTATAGGAGGGAGAACATAATTGTGTGCGGTATTCCAAAAGTGGCGTAACTAATGTCCTGTGCAGCTGCAATATGAACTCCCAACTTCTTTGTTATCTCTTTACTGATCCACTGTCCTACTGTCTCTCCAGAAAACCAAGCTCATCCTCCCCTTCGAGGGGTTCCTGTGGTCTCTGCCTCAAAGAAGCACTCCGTTTTCCAGTAACTCTCCTCATTGAATAATCGTGACTCAATCTGCCTTATTTCTGTCTTTAGCCTCTTCAGCTTTGACATAGTGCCCTTGATATATTTACTCCAATCACCCAAAAGTAAACAGAAGCTCAGTAGCACCCTGCTGCCTACTGGTGAATTCTAATGAAATGAGAACTTAAACAACTTAATGGAAGATTTGGCACGTAAAGAATAATTGCTTTAAAATATGTATATTCCTGCTATTATAAAGCTTTTCCTCCGTCTTTCCTCTTATTAGCCTCATATTTGGAAATCTAAAAATCATAAGTGCTAATCTTTCCTTTAGTTTACAACCTATGTGGGTTGTGGCAAATGTGGGTGCCAACTCAAGAACCAATGAGGAAAAAACTGAATCAGTATTATCTTATGTTAAATCTATTGGCTGTCTTTATCAGCTAAACCACAATTCACTGGAATTAGTAAGGTGTGGGGATCCTGCACTCCCCCGTCTTCCAACCTAGATTCTTGCTACCACCATATAACTGGCAGTGTAAGCTGAGAAACAATATTTCTCCTGTAGATATCTCACAGAGAGAATTGTTTTAGCCTCCCTACACCTCTCTGCCTCTCTACCTTTAAAACCACTCATGATAACCTACTTCTTTGATGAAACTTTTGATCATCTGCCCCTATAGTTCCTTACATGGTGTAGTGCCATACTTTCTTAGAATAATGCTTCTGTATAAATGGCAGTACTTGGTGAGATGCTCAGTGACAGGATTTGCAGATATGAAAGTGACAATACCTGTACATCTGTCAATGTTAGAATGATCTTCTGAGAGGCTGACCTGTTCCTCCAAGACTCTCTATGATCTCAAACTCAAAAAGCATCTTTAATTGTAAGTGCAGTAACATTCTCCTTGAAGGAATAGCAGTTGAACGTAAGGGCATTGCAACATTTCAAGAATGCATGTAAATCTGTCTCAACTCATAATAAGGCTCAAGCTGCCTGTGCTGATCATCTAACACCTTGTTGAGTGTTGGGGAGGGTTGAAGACTAACCGGGAATAGGACTAGGAATAGGATGAAGCATTAGAAAGGAATCTCAAAATGCACAAAGAAAGAGATGAGGGTAGCTCAGACAAAGTGGGAATGCAATCATATCTAAATTCAGTTTACGGTGCATGTATGTTAACAAATAGAGCAGGGTAAAAATGATTGATAAGCTTCAGACATTAATAACTGCATGGGTTAGCAAGGACAATGAAATAGAAAAGTTTAGTGTTAAACAAAGGTCATATTGATAACCCCAAACATATGTGTGAGTGTGCTGAATGAATGTCTGAATTTGAATTGTTTTCTGAACTGTGACATACTCCACAGCAGTCTCTGGTGCACCCTCATAATTAGGAAGCATCTCTCATGTACCTTCCCACAGTTGTGCTGCTTGGGTCAGTGGTTGATCTTTTGGAAGGGATGTACATAGCTTGTGTCTTATCATTGAAGTAGCTTTGGGCTGATGGGGCTGGAGCTAGTGTTGCACACAACATTTATTCCTTCATTCATTAACGTCACCAGCCAGATTCATAGCTGTTCACCGAGATCTGTTTGCTTTTTATCTCCCAACAGGGCAAACCTGGAGGACGTGGCTTCCCGGGTTCCCAGGTAAGCAAACCAGGAGAAAATTCCAGGGTTACTGATCATTTCCTTTTTCCTGCTGCTCCTTCTTCTGTCTCTTTATACTATATAAAGTGAATAGATTCCTGGTAGGTAATTGTATCAGTTTTACAATTAATGCTGAAGATTATTTGTACATCATTAGGCATAGAAAATATTTTATTTGTCTTATTTAATTGTAGGGTTCACCGGGGAGCAAAGGAGACCGTGGACCGAAGGGTGAACGGGTAAGAAAAATCAGTTTAGCCATGGCATACCTGCTGATTGCCATTTGACACTCTGTGGAAACAAAGTATGAGGACACGGTGTAGGCAAGGTGTCGCATCCTCAAAGTTCAATGACCTTTTCACACATATTCTACAACTTTAGATGTACAAAGCAGCCAATTGGTGGAAAGATTATTTGAACACTTCTGGAGCTATAGTCCAAAGGGAATCATTGCAGTTAAGGGGGAAACATAGGGTAAAAATTGATGAGAAAAAGTAGACTTCCCATATATTATACAAATGTGTTTCTTTCTGAAAGCGTTAGTTCTGAAAAGAGCATGAAGTTCCACCCAGTATGATGATGTCATGATGCTTTGGGTGGACGGACTGATCTCAATCTTGAAGGAGGCAGACCATCCACAGATCTACTATCTCCTCATCGTCTTAGTCATAAAAGCTATACAGGCAGTATAACTTGTACCTGATTGTGCTCATGCAATAAACTAAATCCTGCTTAAGGTAAAAGCTTCTTCTGCTTCGACTACCCAGTGCTTTTCCTCTACCCCAATGTCCAAGCAGTCCCTGTAGATTCAGCTGAAAGGTGAATGTTGCAACAAGGCTATTTTATGGTGAACAAGAGTCCAGCTAGCTCACACAACATGGTAAGCAGTGCTGAAGGTTCATCATATAAAATGGTGAGCATTGACAACATTCATCAAACACATCCAAACACCCAACAAGAAAACCACACAAACATCAGACTGAGAAATTATTGTAATGATTCTATGAATACTATTTGGTTGCACCTTTCTGTGAAAAGAAATGCGATGGTGAAGTTAGTATTTACTGGGCGGATAGCTGAGATGTTGCTGGGTGATGGAAAGTTGCAAAATGTTAATTCCTTGTAAATTTTGAGATCCAGGTCAGAGGTGGTGCGATATATCCTTGGAGTGGTTTATTATATGCACACACGGAGTGCAATATAGTCCATAGGTGGTTTATTAGAAACACACAGTGAGATATAGTTCCTCAGTTAAACAAAAATAAACCAAAGAATTGAGATGCTGGAAATCAGAAACAAAAACAGATATTGCTGGGAAAACTCAGCAAGTCTAAGCTCAGAGTTCTGAAACATTAACTCTGTTTTCTCTCCACAGATGATGCCAGACCTGCTGAGTTTTCCCAGCAATTTTTGTTAAAGGGCCTCAGTGGTTTATTAGATATATACTCGCAGTAAGAGAGATTGTCCTTCAGCAATTTATTAGACATGCATTCACAATGAAAGACAGTATTCCTTAGTAGATTATTGGATACAGATTTGGAGTGAGATACAGTCCTTCAGTGATTTATTAGGTATGCACTCCCAGTGAGATATAGACCCTCACTGGTATTTTAGATATACACTCTCAGTGATATACTCCTCAGAGGTTTATTAGATTCCTCAGTGGTTTATTTGATGTGAATTCACAGTAAGATATATTAACCCTCAGTAGTTACTTAGATACATATCGGCGTACAAGACATATATGTGTAGTGAGATATAATCACTCAGTGGTTTATTAGATACACACTCACAGTGAGATATAGTATCGCTCAGTGGCTTATTGGATACATAATTGCAGTGAGATATAATTTCTCAGTGGTTCATTCGATAAACACTTGCAGTGGAATATAATTCCTCAGTGGTTTATTAAATTTGCACTCAAAGTGAGATATGGTGTCCCACAGTGTTTTTTCAGATAGACAGTTGCAGTGAGATATGGTCACTCATTGATTTATTGGATACACACCTGCAGTTAGATGTAATGTCCCTTCAGTGGTTTATGAGGTACACTTGCTGTGAGATATAGTCACTCAGACATTTATTCAATTTACATTCATAATGAGATATAGCCCTTACTAATTACACACTTGCAGTGAAGTATAGTGTTTCAATAGTTTAATAGATATGCATTCGGAGTGATTTATGGTGTCTCTTAGTGGTCTATTAAATGCACAATCGCAGTGAGATACAGTCCCTCAGAGGTGTATTAAATACATATATTGTAGTGAAACATATTGTCCCTCAGTGTTTTGTTAGATATATATTTGTAATAAGTTGTAGTGTCCCTCCGGGGTTTCTTTGATATATAGTCACAGTGAGATATAATCCTTAAGTATCTTATTAGAGTTTCACTTGCAGTGATATGTGCTGTCCATCAGTGGTTTATTAGATGAACACTCGCAGTGAGATATAGTGTGTCTGAGGTTTATTGGATAAACACTTGCAGTGAGATGTATTCCCTCGGGTTTGTTAGAAATATACATTCACAGTGAGATGTGATGCCCTCAGAGGGAAGCTATATCTCACGGCCGCTGTCTATACAATAAACCACTAAAGGACTATATCTCACTGCAAATGTGTATTTAATAAACCATTGAAGGACACTATAGCTCACTGCAAATTTGATTCTACTAAACGACCAAGGGACGATATCACACTGCGAGTGTGTATGTAATAAACCACCGAGGGATTATATCTCACTGCAAGTGTGTATCTTATACAACCCTGAGAACACTTTACCTCACTGGAAGTGTGTACCTCACTAAGGAACAGTATATATCACATGAGATATAGTGTCCTCAGAAGTTTATTTCATGCATGCTTACAACGATGTATATGTCTCTTAATAGTATTTTTATATGCACACTCGCAGGGAGGTTAAGTCTCCTTGAAGTTATATAAGATAGATAGTCACAGTGAGATATACTGTTGCTGAGTGATATAATAGATATACACAACCAATGAGAAAAGTCCCTCGGTGGTTTATTAGATATGCAGTCACACTGAGATATGCTGTCCCTGAATGCTTTGTTAGAAAAATGCTCGGACTGAGATATTGTCCCTCAATAGTTTATTCAATTTATACTCGCAGTAAGATATAGTCCCTTGGTGGTTTATGATACAGATAGTGACAGTGAAACACAGTGTCCATTAGTGGTTTACTAGATACAAACTTATAGTGAGGTATAGACCCTCAGTCGTGGATTAGATACACACTCTCAGTGAGATATACTGTCCCTCAGTGGTTGGAAACAAATTTACAGTGAGTTGTAGTGATCTCAGACGTTTATTAAGAATAGACTTGCACTTGATATAGTTCGTCATTTGTTTATTAGATACACACTTGCAGTGAGGTACATTTTCCTCAGAGGTTTATTCGATATATGCTCAAAGTGAGACACAGTCCCTCAGAAGCTTGTTAAATACATTATCGCAGTGAAATGTCGTGCTGTCAGAAGTATGTTAGCTATACACTCACAGTGAGAAAAGTGCGTATGTGGTTTATTAGATGCATACTCACACTGAGATATGCTGTTCTTGAGTGCTTTATGGGAAACATACTCACAGTGAGATATAATGCCGCTCAGAGATTCATTAGATGCACAATCGCAGTGAGATAAAGAGATCCATTCCCTGGACACTCCAGGGCAATTTAACATGGCCAACCCATCTAACCTGCACATCTTTTGGATGTGGGAGGAAACCAGAGCACCCAGCAGAAACCCACACATACACAGGGAGAACATGCAAACACAGACAGTCACCCAAAGCTGGAATCAAACCCGGGCCCCTGGTGCTGTGAGGCAGCAATGCTAACCACTGTGTCACCGTGCTGCCCTCAGAGGTTTGTTAGGTATCCACTCAAAGTGAAATGTAGTGTCCTCAGAATTTCATTAGCTATACACTCACAGATGTAGTCCCTTAATGTTTTTTTTTAGATACGCACTTGTAGTGAGACATAACATCACTGATTGGTTTATTAAAACACACACTTGCAGTGAGGGTGGCACAGTGGCTCAGTGACAGTGTGTGTGGAGTTTGCACATTCTCCCCGTATCTGCATGGGTTTCCTCAGGGTGCTCCAGTTTCCTCCTATGGGGTGTGCAGGTTAGGTGGATTACCCATGCTAAATTGCCCATGAAATAACTCCACAGAGGCCAGTATCCTATCATCAAGTCATCCTTTATTTACATCTGGAAAGTCCTTGATGTTGATACAGTTCCCTGAGAGCCTGCTCTTAAAGTGAACAGAATGTCTGACATTCCTGTTCTCATCTGTCAGCCAGGGCCACCTGATTGGACAAGATTAACAGCCCCAATCAGGAAATGCATATTCTATGAGATTAACCTGGTTGACCTCAATTACAATCACTACATCCTTTCCCCTCTGAGTCCAAGGACATCAGCCTTCTCCTTTGTAGCTCCTCTGGGTCAGGTTCCTCCAACTCTGCACAGCAACTAACCTCATGCGCCCAGAGCTTCTTGGAAGAAATTCATTCTCTTCTTCAGGCAGCAAAAGCTTTGGGGCAGTGACATCCACTGTGTCCATCTTAGATTCTGAGGTATCTTCAACACTTGACGGAGATGGAGAACCCACAGGTTCTGGAACAGTCAGAAAGGCTGTCGAAGAGCCAGGGAATTTTTGAGCCTGCACTGTTTGTGAATTTGCAGCTTTCATATGACCTCATACCCACGCAGGGCCACTCCCATAGTTCCTACACCAAACTTCGACCTCTGGAGTAAACTGCCTCTCTCGCTTAGTGGAGTCCTATGTCCAGCATTGGTGTTCCTAATGCCATTTCACCCTCTCCTCAAGGTTCAGGAAGATCAGATTTAACCTGGTACAGAGTCTTCTCCCCATTAGCGACTCTGGTGGAGCTTTCCTTGCAGTCACATGAGGGGTTGTCCTATGGTCAAACAGGAGCGGGGACAGTTTGGTATCTAGTGAAGCTGTAGGCTGTTTCTTTAAGCCAGCCTTCAAAGTTTGGATTGCTCTTTCTTCCATACCATTGTATGATGGATGGTATGGAGCTGTCCTTATATGTTGAATATCATTCAGCTTTAAGGAATTCTCAAACTCCCTGCTGGTAAACAATGGCCTGTTGCCTATGACCAACACTTCTGGGAGTCCGTGTATTGCAAAAGATATGTACAGTTTTTCTATTGTCACCCCCATGTTTGATGAATGAACTCTATGC